GCTGTTAAAGTGGCTGAGCAGGGTATCCATGGTGCGGTCGTCTAAGTTGAAAAGGAGCTTATTTGTGATTTTGTCTGGACCCGGGGCACTGTTCCGCTTACTATCCGCTATTTCCTCTCGTAGCTCGTACAGTTGGATATCTTTATCTAGTTCTTGATTGGGCGTTCCGTCATACGAAGGGGAGGAATAGACTCCCCCCGTCGGGAGGTACTTCTTTGCCAGGTCCTTCAGGAGTTCTTCGCTGCTACCTGCGTAGGCATTGAGTGTGCGCGTCATGTTTCTGTTAGACTCTCCTCTACTTTTCAGGGGGTCGATTAAGTGCCGAAGCAGATGCCATGTTTTCTTTGTGGTCAGGGTGCCTTGTAGGCCGTCGCATTCTTGTAGCCAATTCTCCTTGCATAGCGCAGCTGCGTATTCAGCAGCCTGTTGGTTTATGAGAGCTATGCGCTTCTTCAGCTTTCTGTTGTGTCTTTGCCGTTTCCATCTTTTTGTGAGGCTGTGCCGTGCTTCCCAAAGATGAAGGAGTTTAGGATCTACATACGGCGTTCTGTATGAGGTGGCAATAGTCTGAGTGTGCGTTTCGGAATCTTTTAAGGCCTCTTGGATCAGTTCTTCGTAGGAGAGATTTTGATCGAGGTCTTGCAAGTTTGTCCTTGCGGAAATTATTCCAGTTGGTTATGCGGGCTGAACCGATGTGGGCCTTGTAGCTTTTGTCCTTAATTAAAATATGGATTATGTCATGGTCCGATCCTAGGTTATCCTGTGTATTAATCCAGGTAATGTCCAGAGTTCCTGCCAATAAAGTAAGGTCGGGGCTCGTGTCTCTGGATACGCTGGTGCCCGTTCGGGTAGGCGTTTGGGGGTCATTGAGCAGGGTTAGATGGTCCTGTTCGATGAATTCGACTATTGCTTTTCCTTTTTGGAGTTGTGAGTGTATCCCCATAGTCGATGTGGGGCGTTAAAGTCCCCCACGATTAGAAGGGGTGAGTCCTTTGATATCAATAAGGCTTCCCAAATAACTTCTCGTATTTCTGGTTGCTTGCTCGATGGCCGGCAATACATATTGAGTATGAACAGATTAAATTTCTTCTTCGTTGACTTCGAGATAATTTCTACGAGCGTGTGCTCGCAGTCCCTCTGCGTCGTGAGATGTTGCATTGCCGCAATGCAACCTTTTATGAGAATGGCTGTGGACTTTTCTGTTCGGTCAGCATAGGTGATGTATCCTAGCAGATGAGGGCTTGTATTTGTTTCTTGTAAGGCAACTGTTTCTGGCTGAGGGTCTAGGGAGGAGACGTATTGCTGGAGTGCTCCCTGCTTGTCTTTTATACCTCGGCAGTTCCACTGGAGAGCCACCGTAACGTTCGTGTTATTGTTTGGGCGAGTCGTCATATTGCTTGGTTGGGTCCTTGCTTTCCACCAGGGATTCTCGTTTGTATGGGGTGGGTCTGCGGCTACTGCGTGGGTTTACTGTTTCAAGGCGTTCAATGCGGATGATGTGGCGCTCTATTTCTTGCTTAAGAGACTGTACATCTTGCTTTAGGCCGTGCATATCTTGCTTTAGGGGCTGCACATCTTGGTGTACTGTCTGTATATCTTGTCGTAAGGCATTGTATTGTGCATCCAGGCGTGTGGTAAGCGGCTCCAATATGGATGTTATGGTTGCTTGAAACCACTGGGGTTGAGCGACTTGTGAGGCATCTGGCGTATGGACGTCGCTCGTCGCGGGAGCCCGGGGATGTTGTTTTTTGTGCGTCGTTATTTGGAAATGGTGGTGGTGGAACCACGTCCATTTGTGTTTGCTCCCTCTCTGGGCGGTTTGGTTTCTTGCGTTTGTCTGTAGTGTTCCTCATCTGGGCTTTCTTTATTGTTTCTAGTCTAGCATGGAGTACTGCTATTTGTGCTTTGAGTTGTGTGCATTCCGGACACGGTACGGGTATGGGTGTGGGTTGGACTGGTGCGGGGGGTTCAGGAGTACTGGGAGCAGTGGGAGACACAATTTGTGTCCAGCTGACTTGTTTGTTGTGACTCTCGCCTGGCCGGGGTTCCCTGCTCCGGGAGGTAGACTGGGACCTTTGGCCCGAGCTGCTACGCCGCCTTCGAGTTGGGGTCCTGGAACAGTCTCTGGGCCGCCCGCGTTGCGGTGTCGGGTCCCTCCGCACGGCTCGCTCTCTCGCCTGCCTCGCGAGCGCTCTCCGTCGGAGAACGTAGGGCTCAGAAAACCGCTTGGGACAGCCCCGAGCCGCCGTGAGGTGAGGTCCGTCGCAGAGGGTTCACAGAGGTTCGCAGGTGTGGCCCTCGTGAGGGTTTTCGAGGCCGCACTGGTGGCACACATTGACTTTTGGTTGTGGACACGCCGTGGATCGATGTCCGGCTTCGTGGCATACGGTGCACGCGGGAATTGTCTTTTTATACAGCGAGACAGGGTACTCCCCGCCGAATAATGTCACGAAGAAGGGTAGCTTGAGCCTTGCAAAGGTGAGTATTACCATCTTGGATTGGCCCAGTTTGCGGCAGGTGTAGATTTCGAACTGGCTTTGGTCGGAGTTCGCGAGGATTTCGGCGTCGGAGTAGCGCAGCGGCACTCCCCGAACGAGTCCCTTGGATGAGTCATCGGGCGCCAGGCCATACAAGGTGACCATATGAATGGTGTTGCCGATCTTGAGTTGTTTCAAGTTTCCTAGGGCCTTGGCTGCATCTGAAGGGGATGTGCTAATTGTGGTCGTATTTTGCGTGGCATCCACACGAACCCTAAGATTGGCTTGGCGCCACGTGAAGTTGATCGAATTCAACAGAGCTAGGGAAACCTCGGCTATGTCCAGATTTGCAAGCTTGAGGCCGTCTTGAGGGTGCAGAACTAATTTAAAATCATCGCGGTCAAGTGGATTGGGCCTGGGGGCGGCTTTGCGTAGTGGCAGGGGAGTTTGAGGTTTGGGCACGGCGGTTGGGCCTACCTCATCGTTGAGCTTGCGCTAGCGTCGCCTCTGTGCCTTGGTGACAACATCGATCCAAGTTGAGTCAAGTTCCGAGGAGAGCTCTGAGTATTCACCTTCGTTGGAATCATGGTTCATTGCGATATCCTCTTCGTCGTTTGAGTTTGGGCTAGGGGAGTCCACGATGCGGCCCCCGTCGGCGGCGGACGAGCCCGACGTTGGGAGTAATCTTGCGAAGTTGGTCACAGAAAAGTTTCCAAGCATACACTACAATGAGCTGAGTCGGCTGGTAGCGTTGAAGTCTGGCTAGAATCCGATTTTCCTCACAAATAGTTGAAAGAGTGCGGAGCTCATGCGAAATGCGTCCACTCCGCCGTGAGTCATCGTCTTTCTCCTCTTTCTGACATGGATGAAAACGAACGAAAGGCTCGGTCACGTGGGCTCGGCATGCTGCGGCTCACCATCTACGCAGACAAGCACCACCAGAGCTTAGCCCCAATCAACATCATTCACCACGTGAAGATGCGTTTTTTTTTTTGCCCTACACGAGCACGGGAGCACGTGCTCACGTGCTCGTGAGCACGTGAGCGCGTGAGTTTACGAGCAGGAGCACGTGCACCCGACGGCGGACGGACATACGGACATGGCTAGCCCCTAAAGGGGTATTCACACGAGGGAGAAATCCCGGGGATTTCTCCCCGGCACGCGCATCCCACGACGAAAACGTCAGGCTTTGCGATGTGCAAAAGCCTCGCGTTTTCATCTCGTGATGCGCGCGTGCCGGGGAGAAATCCCCGGGATTTCTCCCTCGTGTGAATACCCCTTAAGGAGCTTCGCCCCTAAAAGCCCAAGGCCTTGTATATCGTATTCCTTGCGCCGACTGCAACGTCTCATATCTAGAAGAAACCAAGGACTTCCCCGAACGTCTACGCAGACACAAATATGATTTAAAAAGAAGCTTCTTTTTACATCATATTTGTGTCTGCGTAGACGCTAGAGCGTTTCTTTGCACGTCCTAGGACGTGCAAGAAAACGCTCTAGCGGAGCATGCAGAATAGAATGACCACGTCATCGACTTCGACAGCAGTTCCGTCCTAAACACCGAAAGAAACTGAAAAAAAAAAAAAAAACGACTCTATTTAAAGTCCTGGACATATCCAGCATACCAAGTACAACCTGAACCGGTCGATCGGTACCCTCCCAAGCAGCTACATCCCCTGACTTCGAGGAGGCACAAAAGGAAGAAGACTACTCTAACGAAAGACGAACGCCCAGCCAAATAATTCACCCGTGAACAAGCGACCGAGCAGGCCGCGAAACGTGAGGCTATTTAGACACAGTAGGTTGGAGTACTTCCAGTTTTTGTCTTTAATACTCACCTCACCAGGCAGATGTTGCCGAAATGTTTACTTATCCGTGACTCTAGTGTTAACCTTTAGGAGCCACTACCTCTGTACGAGCTATTATCCGTTCACCCCTAGCTCACGGGGGGGGGGGGGGCAGTTACGGACTCGTTAGACCAGTCCTACCTTTATCTTTTAAGACGGGATCACACTCTCGCCCACACGCATATGCAAAGAGCGGGGTAGGTGATCAAAGGAAGACGGTTGACTGACCCGGCGAGTGTGTAGCTCTCACCTTTCTGTCAGCCAACGTTACTAGATTACCTCAGTCATGCAGCTCCCGCAGAAGGGGGTACCCCCCTCACTCACTTCAGTCCGTCTCCCGTCGTTCGAAACGCCATCTAGATTTTTCTTTACGAACTACGTGCTCCATGGAGTACGGTGGAACGCCATTGAGACGCTGCGCTTCGAAACATACGTATCTCACAGAATACACCGCGGTCACCAAAACAAGCCGTGTGGCGCGTCGAACGACGGGAGGCGCGCCACTCGTGGTGAGTGAGGGGAGGGGGCACTGCTCGTGCATGCAGCGTCTGTGAGCAGTTTCGTAACTGAGCTAAACTAATAACGTTGCTGTCAGTTTAGAGGTGAACGGAGTATAGTTAGCGCCCACTGCAAGGTCGATTCTAGAAGTGCCGCTACAAAAGGAGAACAGATTTCTTTGCAACACTTTATTGCATCAAAGGTAACATTAGAGTTTCCTTTCCGAAGATCACAGTGCCATTGCCGTTTCCTTGCAACAAGTCACTGCAGCACATAGATGTCACTCGATTTGGAGCGAGTACACACTGTAAGAACGCATAGATCGGTACAGTATTACATCACAGCTTGCGTGCAGAGCTCGAGTTACATATCGTCCAAGGTTTATTCGTTTAAATAAACTAAAGCGACAAGCAACATCTACAGATTTACAATGTCTATGCACAGGAATCACCGTTGTTGGTTCACGCAGAGCCACCAGAGAAGCAACGCTCTCAAGAGTAACAGGTCTTCAGCATTCTTGATGCTTAAAACCTTTCTTGCCCGCTATCCGAATCTTCCATATCAAATCGCACGAAACCCTCTCCCGTCCTCTGGAAACGTTAGAAGGACCCGCTCTGCACCAGGCAACAAAATGGCGACGGCCGCCTTACAACTGAGGAATGGAGTGGCAACACTCTATGCGTTGCCTATCTAGTGGCTCTATGGTTTTCTGTTGGCTAGATCACTATAGCCACTTTACCGCACCCGATCACCGGTTCCTCCCTCGTCATCATTTCTCTCGCGTTTTCTTGGCCTTGTCGTCCACCCACCTACCCGCCTTATGCATATGCCGACGTATCACATGACAAATAGTGTAACGCTCTATCTGTCTCAGTGTCACAACCGAAAGACACAGCTCATGACTCTACCGCTAGGTGAACTTCCAGCACAAAACATTGCCGCCTTTTTCCTGAAGTAATAAAGCGCAGTAAAATGAGCAAGGGCAAATGATCACAGCTGTCATGTTACCGAAAGTAATGTACCGCAGGAAAACAATATATCGTGTGCGTTCTGCTAATGCCTCAACGTCAAGTTGGACATAGGTATATGACAAAACGACTGAAAAATAAAACAACAAGAAAAGCACTAAGCTTAGGAATGTCGTCGTTATGTATTCGTATTCCTCTTCTCGGAAAGGTAGCATGACTAGCTCCAAGGGATAACTTGGAGATAGCGGCCGGGACCCACTCTAACGTTTCAAAGCGCGTGTAAGGACCATATATGAATAGCCGTCCTCTCGTGTGAGTTAGGTAGTGTGTTGGCATGCTTCATTTTTTAACTACTTTCAACGCATCAACTTCGCAATGTTGATGCGTTGAACGTATTTAAAAAATAAAGAAGGATAAAGACGTGTTGAGGCTTTGGTTGACCCCATAGAGTTATTATAATATACGCTGGAGGTTCAATTGGCGCTAGTGTGCGGTTTCAAATTGAAGCAGACGGCAGCCGGTTTGAAATTGACTTCCGTTAATGACTTTTAATGGGAAAAAAAAGTGAGTGCACTTTCTCCCTGCGCTTGTACATAAGAGCAAATATGAGGAAAAATTCGTACGTACTACATGGCCGCACATTTCTCAGTCCTACAGACGAAACGTTTGGTCAGTTGATGCGTTTTTCCTTCAAATTCATGACATCAATATCGGTGCTAAAATGGCTTTATACATGAATTTATGTACGATGTCCGACACTGTTAGCGCGGACACGGCATCTGCGCTTTCCTGTAAAGAAAAGGGGGGTTACGTGCCAAAGCAATGAAGGGCATCACTAAATTCCAGAAAGACGCCAATAACTACGCACTAACACTGGGTCATTACCTAGCTCTGCATGTACTCTGTCAAAATGAGGTAAAGCCGAGTAATGAGTGCGGCTTGCAATAAATAACATTCGTCTTATGACAAATGCTGCTCATGTTTGGGTGCAATGGTATGTCTGTTTAAGCATTAAAGTTTATACTGCATGCCACTAAACTTTTAATATAAGTAAAAGCCAGAAAACTCTCAGCGACCAATAAATTAAGCGCAATATTAAAAGGAAAACACGTTTATTAGGGCGCTTAATTTAACAGTTTTACGCGTTTTCACCGTTCGTAAATTATGGTCGTATTAGTGGCACGCTGATATTGTAGATTATCAATATAAGCGTCATCGATATGTTGGCGCTCCTTCACCAAGTCCTACGCTCTTCTTGACTGTTATTCTTGCTTACATTCTCCGCTTGTCTGTACACAATTATTTATTTATTTATTAGTACCCCTAAGGACCCTGGAACAGGGTATTATATGAGTGATGGGCAGTTCAAATTTGTAGGTAAATGAGAAAGCATAGTCATGAACAACGAAACAAAAAATCACCAAGAAAACACGTAAAACAACAAAAAAAATTACAAAAAGGTAAAACACACTTACATTAAAAAATACCAGTCTGGTGGAGATTCCTAAAATTTGACTAGAATGTTATTAAATACGTCTATTTTGTTTGCCGTGACTATGTTGTCGGGTAAAGCATTCCAGTCAATTATAGTGAAACATATGGAGGAGTTAGCGTAAGAAGTGGTGGATGCATACATAGGTTTATTTTACAGCTGTTATCTAATCTAAAAAAAAAACGAAGTGGAAGGAGGATATAGTTATTGTTTAACTGTGGGATTATGGTGGTAAATCTTGTAAAATAGTGTCAAAAGAAATATTTTTCGCCTTAAAATAAGTTGAGGGAAGTTCGCTGCTGAAGTACCAACGACACAAGTAACAATGGTAATTCGTGTTAGTCTTCGGCAAAGAGACAAAATGCACGCGCTCTTTCCTACAGGAGCACCACAAAAGAGGGCTGGTTGCTGTTTGCTTTAATTTGAAACAAGTCTTATAGACACAAGCACCAGCTCAGCATCTAGTGTACACTATAATAACTATAGGGGTGACTCAGGAGAAGTTGACCTTCGTCGTACCAACACCTCTTAGAGCACAAGGATGCGCAGTGATAGGTTTTCTAACTGACTGAGAGGACAGCACTGCGCACAGATTAGGCCCGAGCGCCGCGTTCGGGTGGTACTTGTGTTTCGTGAGCAGAATACAGACGCCGCACTCGTGTTGAATCAGCGCGTCGCGCTGGCCTTCCGCGAATGACGTCAAAAATCGGGCACTAAGGACCTCTCGAACGTGTTCTCGCAAAACATCTCACAATTTATCTTGACGTTTTCTCCAAGTATAAGAAATTGGCGTAAACGAGCCCACTGAAAGTTCACGAAACATTCCTGGCTCGCACACTCGAACAAATCATAATACGTTATAGCTCCAGAAACATCGGCGCGAGGAATATGCTTTCCTCAAGCTAGATCGTAACTTGTTTCGGATAAACTGTAGAACGGTAATCAGTCTGGTAACACAACGAGCGAGGGCCCTTTCGGCAAGTTCCCGCGTGTACTCTGGTACTCCAAGGTCCGAGTACCGTAGCCTGTTTCACCTTACGATTAACCGCAGCGGACTCTACGAGTAATCTCGGTCAATCCCGCGCTGTGAACGGGTCCCGCAACCTGCGCATCACCACGTCCCATCCCAAAGGTAACGTGACACTCACACGGCAGGGGATTGGCTTTGACGGATTGTAGATCCTGTTGCAGTTCATCGTAAGGAGAAATAGAGTATAGGAGTGCTGTGGGAGACCGGTTATAGCGAAGTCGGTTATAACGAAATAGCGGCTACAGCGAAGCGATCACGATTTCACATTCCCTTTTGCACTTCATTAACCGAAATTCGGTTATAACAAAATAGCGGATATAGCGAAGTAATTTCCGATTCCCGTTGACTCCGCTATAACCGGTCTCAACAGTACTCGGAACTGGGAGCGCGATGAAGTCCAAACACACTGGGTACACACTCATGTCACTTATTCTCACAGTCAAATTACTCATCACACAGATATTCGACGTCGCTTAGGACAAGGCGTACCTTCGATTCTCTCAACTATCAGCTGTGCTCCTAAGACTGCGGAATATAAACACTGATATGTGAAAGCGACAGAGGCTCGTGGGCTACAGCGTTTTCGCATGGACAGAACGATCGACGCCACCTGTGGTCGCACATTAACTAGTTTAGTATTAAGGAAGATGATAAAGCTTAACTCGATGACGTGAAACGGGCAAGGGGAAATGGATTATGTTTAAAATGCGGGAACACGGTAAAACGATACGAGAAAGCTATTCTTATTAACGACAAGCAAACGTACAACTCTGAACGTTGAGAGGTTGAAATTATGGTTAAAGCTCCGGTCAGACGTGCTAGAATGATCGCATTACGGGTATGTACACTTCAGCGTTGTAGTCCGTCATACACAAACTCAATATAGTTTTAACATTTACGTAAAATTATACCTTAAAAAGAAACACACTTGCCGAGTGATCCAATAAAAACACTCATGAGACAAACTGGAATATGAAACTCTTAAATGCCTCTCCAGTTGGCATATTGCTGAGAGAAGTTTTCCTCTCTCTCAGAGATAAGTGGTTTATATTTCTCCGATTCTAAACGTTTTTCTTATGTTATTTGTATTTCCTCTCTATAAACCGTCACATCTCTGAGTGCGTTGTGATTTCTGACAGCTATGTCTTCAAAGATCCCTTCCTGAACTTCGCATATGCTGAACAAAAGACGTAAACCACGTAACAAAAAAAAAAAAAAGAAAACTTAGGTGATAGACAAGCATAATGAAACGGCATTAACATACGTTTAAAAAAAATTAATTTTCTACGGTTGTAGGTAAAATCGGCGACCATACATTAAAACATAAGTCCTTGAACTAACCTGTTCGTAGCACCTGCAGGTAATATATACAACCTGTTCTTTGACTTATTTCGTAACTAACGTCAACACGACCTGGACGACTAAACAGTTTGTGCTCTAGTTTTTAATGTTCACAAGTGTAGTACTTCAAAAGTTACTTTCTCTAGTATTTTTAGGTGGCCGTTGTATCAAGGTTTCGAGAAAAGTTGCGTAATGCTTTTAATTAATAAAAAAAAAGAAAAGAAAAACGACAACAAAAAAACATGCATGCAGGTTTGGTTGGAGTGACATTTGAACCAATCACAGTAACACACTCGTCTAGGTGCTGGAGTGAAATGTTGGGTAATGATGTTCAAAGTCAACCAATTAGACTGATGTAACCATCCCTTGTGCAGTTCGCAGAATACAAAAGGCCTTGTTCTAATAAAAGTAATTCTGAGATTCATCACAGCAATATTACACTAGTAAAATCTGTTGCATAACGCACATCTGTAGTTGACGTTGAAGCAGGTTTAGCTCTTTCGGAAGTTACTTTTTTACAGGAATATAGCAAATTAAAACTTTTCTTATCCCCCTGGTGCTGTGACTTTTAACATCATTTATAACTGAAACTCCACGAATTATTCCCGCTTCTAGATAATTTTTGAATTTAGTTGTATACAATATTTAAATCGCAATGTATGATATGCCACTCAACGCTTATTGCTCCAAACTCTTCGTACTGCCACAAAAATATGCTTAACTAGATGCGCGGCTCTAGCCACAGAATGTTTGCAAATCATAGTATGAGGATAGGGACAGAATAAGTGTAGTCCTTAAATATTATGAAGATTGCACCACCATAACTTAAAAAAATAACCTAAGACCCGTTTGTGGAACTTTGTCTCGCCGCGCCGCGAGTATCCTTTAGCCATAACAGGAGGATCCAAAAACAAATAAAAAAGTGCAGAACCAATAGATTTTAGTATCTGCCAGGGATGCATTTAACCAGCGAATTTGCGAGAAACTCTCACGTGTATATTTGTTTCTTAGCCAGGGAGAATCTAAAGCAATCATTTTAGCAAGTGGTACCAAATTTGTTTACGCCTGAGTCGCGTGTCCCGCTTAATCTCGTTTGTTTTTAGGGCAATGGTTGTCAGAATATGGTTATACGGTGCGTGTAAGGCGTCTCCGACTGGTGTGTTCAACACGTCTTCGTTCTGACTTTCCGACATTCGATGGGTGACGCAAAGAACTGTAAAATGTTGCAGATCTCCACGATCCTGGCACAGAAGCGCAAGTGGATACTGGAGACGTCTGTTTTGCTGTAGTCTAGCAATGCACCAAGCCAGCTCACAGAAACTCCAGTATCCATGGGTTGGGACGCCTAGAGCGCTAGATGTACGCGGTCCGATAGATAAAATAAAACCATCTTCCTGCTGCGTATATTGACCAAACATCAGGGCGCATGTGGTGCCCACTTCTTTGGTCGTTAAATAAATGTTTCAACTCAAATGCTGCGTATACAAACTACAGGTTGCGGATAGCTGTGTGAACGCGTTGGTGGCGATGCTTAAATAAAGATAAAGTTTGAGAAGATGACCTCACCTGGACGAATTGAGATAAAGCAGGACATAAAAAGTTGTGTATTAGCGTACATCCACCTAGGTTTAACATTTGTCAAATCAAGAAGTGACATTATGCGCGCATGCGGCATTTATTACAGTGAAAAAAAAAGGACTTGCCAGAAAGGCGAGTTTTCTCTTTCAAAGAAAAGAGAAAACTCTGACGAGTTTTCTCTTTTCTCTGAAATAGGTGCCACATGCACCCACAATGTAATTTCTTGGTTTACCAAGGCTTAGGCTTGACTAGAAAAAAGCTGACAGAAATATTTAGTTTTTTTCCTGCTTTTTTTTTATCCATATAACAAATTATTCTGTTCTCAACATTTGGCTTGTATCACCCCCGCTAGCGACACATTCCTACATGGTTCCAGATTTTTGCAATGGGCAGTTTAATTTTTGGGGCCGAACAACAGGGTTTTATTTTGTACATCGGACCCCGCAGTAAATAGCGCTTAGGGAAGCCGTGATAATAGCGACAGTTTTGTTTGGTCGTATTTTTAGTTGTCGCTTCTACAAAGAGCCGCCATAATGGAGACAAACGCCGCAGCCTTAACCGGAATCTACTGTGCCGTATTTTGTTCTTGTCTTGGGTGCACACCGATGGATGGGCAGTATAAGACAGAACACACCAGCCACGGACGGGTTCCAACTTCCAGGTACCGTAATTGTAAGACGAAACGATGAGGCGTATCAAGGAGAATTAATGGGGAACGTTCTTCCCTCTTGGGCTTCTTGCAGGCTAAACTTTAGATAACTCAACACTCATTTCTATTGCAATGAGTTTTTTTGTATTATGCACAGCAAGTTTCAAATTAATTTGTTTTCGAGTAACCGACGTGATAAAGACACAAAAAACGTGCAATAATAAGATATGAACGAAGCAAACTTACAAAAGCTTTGTAAGAGGGTATGACTTGAAAGCACGTCACGCGCACAAGCCACTGATCAAATCGCGTCGTACCAAACGCGCACAACATTCTTTCACAAACACTTCAATCGGCGAGAACACGCCTTCTCCACTCATGACGAAGAGTGCCTTCATGCTCGCAAATTCAGCTACAAAATAAATGCGCCTTGGAGGCGACACTGCGGACACTGTTGACACCTATGAAGACGGCAAAAGGAAAATAAAGCCTATGGATCGATCCTCGCCAGAGCCTGTTAGTGTGGAGGAAGGCAGTCATCAGACAAGTCACGCTATACAAAGTCATGTCCAAAGCCCTTCACTTCGATTCACAAAACTCCGAAAACCATAATGTAATTGAACTGCAAGTAAAGTGATTTGAGGATGACATACAATCGCGTAATTTCGAACTCTCTTGCAGACCCCCGAAATTGCAGTGGAAGCATAAAGATTTTGATTTATTCGTCTTAGAAGTTATCAGCGTGAAATGGCTCCTGCAAAAGGTGTACTCGGAAAGGAATAATATTGCGATAACGCAGATAGGTTATCTGGATCAAGAGGTCTTGAAACACCATGATAAGATGCCGAAAACTAACTGTGGTCGTTAGTGTTGCGGTTGGCTTTCGGCACATGGAAAGAAGAAGACGTAACATCGATGTATATTTCACTGAAACTAAAAAGCAAGCCGCGGAACGCTCCTCGGAGACAAATGTATTCTCAGGGGTTGCGGTGACTCCGTGTTTTTCGATCGTCCTTCAGCTTGCACTCTAATACCAAGGGTTCAGACACAATATGCCTAAAATGACAAAAATAAATACAGACACTAACTTTCCTCAAAATGTCTAAAGATTTCTTTCGGAACTTTCGTTGTAAGTCCGTTGGCAAAGAAACAACAAATCAAGAAAAGCTTCAGAGCGCGGTAGTTTAAACTACGGCGTGCCTTGGTTTGATAACCATGCTGTACCTGCCGCAATAACAAGCTCTGGCGTTCATCTCTCTTAACAGTGTAGCTATGTAAGCTCGTATTCACAGCTTTTCTTTCATGAACAGTGGATGGAGTCAAGAGTTTCACGAAGCCGGCGAAAGAAAAAAGAATGAAACAAATAAGAAAATAAGTGCCTATGCTGCCGAGGGGGGCAGCACCTGGAAGTGGTAGAGAAGCTTCTTGCTGCGGTACCAGCTGAAGCTGTTGTCGAATTTCAGAACATCTGAAAAAAAGAAAGGCGAGGAGAATGTGTAGAAGATAGAAGGGCGCGCATGTTCCGCACTTAGTTCTTCGTTAGGCAAAAGCTCCCTTCCAACGCGTACAAATGCAACCATCGAAAAGTGTCGATGAGATTCGTAAAATGTGTTTCTGAAGCACGTAGCTCATACAGCGATAAAACGTGTTCTCAAGTATAAGTTTTAAGTAATATAAGGTTCATTACGTATCTCAATAGGGGTTTAAAGACAAACTTTAAGCGAATAGAGAGAGGGTACAAAGAGATGACGGAGAGAGGAAATTGAAAACTCTGTTCCAATCTGGACAATCCTGTAAAAGTAAGTTGTTTCTCAAAGACTAATCTCAAATATCCAAGAATAATCAAAACATGAGCACTTCAGCGTCATTACAGTGAGACCGACGGCAGACAGAGGTTGGATAAAAGTGCCACGTCAGCGTTCGGCTGGGCCCTGTTATCCTAGCATGTTTTCGCTGATCCCGGCTTGAACACCGACCTCCGTCGCGTATTTCACCACTTTCCGCCGTTGAGAGATGCTGCGTATCTTTCCCGTTGTTTTTGCCGGGTTATCTTTGTTCCTTTCCCTATGTTTCAACTCGTTCCTCGCAGGGGACAATGTTTTACACTCAGCCTTCCAGAAAAACCTAATGTATACCTGAAAACTTTTCTCAACGTGCATGTTGCTTTGTTTTGCATCAATCACTTTTCAAAGCCCGACGCATATTTTTTAAAGATTATGCATCTGGGCGTGTTATCCTTCTAAAAGAAAAGTTATGACGTATATAAAACACTTCAGAATAATCAATATACTCGAAGCCTTTCGATATCAGTACGACACGACTCTACAAATGAGCTCTTTTAGGATAATTCATTCATTCTATTAATAAACGTCTGAGGTTAATGCTTTACTAAAGTTGTTTCCGACAGATGAACTTGAAATTGTCGCTCTATACATTCCTCTTGCTCTACTACCGGTGCGTCGTTGTTTTAATAAGAAACAAAATAACCAAACACAGAATTCGTCGAGTTTAAATACAGCATGACCGTGCTCAAACAACCCGGTGGAAAGTACCAGACACTGGGAGTACTCATTGAACAACACGAAGACATACATAGACGTCTCAAATAATGTTTAACTTAAGCCAACTCACTCCACCCTCGCACCTTAATTGCTAAAAATGACCTGAAAGAGTTGCGAGTTTATGAATGCCCAAAATAGAAAATATAAAAAGAAACGGCATAAAAGACCCGTGTCATCTTTTCATTACTCAAAATTCAACTCAAGATGTGGAAATTAACGTAGATACACATTTTTGTCTACACCTCGTCCCTGCTGTTGTTTTCGTTTTTGTTTTATTTGACTCTCACGATGGCAATGACAAATATACAATGACGTACCAATATTGATCTATTGCTTCAAATGCATAATATCGGGCCCGTGAATGCCATAAAGGCTTGTGTATCGCGGAGTCCGGCAGGTAAGTTAAATTTCCATCTTTCTATTAGGGTTCTCAAATACCACACCTTGGGTGGGTGGGGGGGTGGGGGGTGAATGTACTATGTTCAGCTTTATTAAACATTGGACATTAAACCTAAAAGGCACCTCCAGGTGCCAGCATGAGAAACAAATTATACACGACAGCTGCGTCAGCGTGGGGAAGAAACTCGCCTACTCCTTGATTGAGCACGATCCCAAGCCGAATACTGACGTAACAGTCGAGTTCATCGCGCCCATTCGATAAGTGACATGAAAGAGCCACTACTAGGTCTTCGTTTCCTAGGAGGTATTGACCTGCAGGCATGAGCACTACTCACATTTTCCCGGGTGCGAGCAGACGAGCATGCCGTCCTCGGGCACCAGGTGGCAGTTGACCCTGGTCATGGCCACCAGCTCCTGCAGCTTGCCGTCGTCCGGTGGGGCAAAGAAGACTCCAAAGCCGATGTCGTAGTTCTCCGTCTGGAACTCCCAGCGCAGGATGGAGCCGGCCTCGGCCACCTCCACGCTCAGGGGCACGGCAGACTTCTTCTCCACAACGCACATCTGCAGGTCGCGGTCCGACGACAGCCTACGCGATGGCGCCGTGTAGTACGAGCACGGCACGGGGCCACCAGTCCCCACCTGGCCGAGGAAAATGGGGAACACGAAAACAGACGCACATGTTGGAGTCCAAATTAAAGTGACTTCCTAGCTCTTCCTTTAGAAGTAGCGACAAGCGCGCTCATGCGCGACTGTGGCGTTGAGTCGCATGCCATACATCCACTATGGCGAAAAGGGAGCTATAGTTCGTTTTGCGCTAAGGGCCGGTGACAGGCTGACAATGCAGCCGTATCTCCGCATCCAGCGCGCGCTCGCTGTTTTCCGTCGTGCTTTGGCGGCACACGCTAACAAGATGTCGAAATGTTGTCGCAGGTTGGAAGCTCGCGCTGGATGCGGAGTTTTTGCTGCATTCTTAAACAGTCACCAGCTACAGCTTCGAGCACAGCGAAGTAATAGCACGAGGTCAAAATTTGGAAGGCTCTAGTCTTCCTTGTTAGCTAAGATAGTTAAAAGTTAAGATAGCTAAGTACCGCTAAAAATTAAGAACGCGAGCGGTCATGCGTCCTGTATCAGTGATGCCCGCTCTTCATTTGTGTGTGAGCATAAAAAAATTAACAATTTACTCGTAAGAAACGATATATGAACAGCGATGATTCTAATATCGAGGCAGTTCATGACCTTTACTGTCCAAAATGGGGAACACGTGCGTCATAGGCTGTAGAGATTTCATGCCGGGTTGTTTAGATGGGCGTGTGGTTCGGAAGAATAAATGAGGTCAACGTAGTTTGCAATTTTATCCCCCAGTCCGGAGAGGAGAATGAAAATAGTTAAAGGATTATTCACCGATTATTACAGGTGCGGGATTTGGTGTCTTGCTCATTTTGACAGCGAGCTGCTGTCTTTGAAATGATAAGGTACCTTAGCTCCAGCTAACAGTATTTATATACAACCACCTGCGTAAGAAGGGGGGGGGGGGGAATTAATACGCTTGCTACATGGGCCGTTTCAACGGTCGTTAGAGGCGCTAGGACAGTTAGTGGTTCCAGCAACAATTAGACTCAAATAAAATGACATGATTGTTGTTGATTTCGCGTTTAATGGCGCCAAAGCTACTGTGGCCATAGTACTCCCAGTGAGACTAATTTATAACAATCAAGAATAGCAATGCAATGACAGTCCTAAAAATTATTACTGGTTTAAAATACCAATTTTCGGAAGACAACCTAAAACGAGGTTGAACGATACTAAATGCTCATCACCAAGCACGAACATGAAATGAAGCTAAGGATGTATATTAAAAATCTCTGGAAGGCATGATCGACGTAGATCGCAATAAAAGCTACAGTGTCACAAGATATACATGATAGTCAAAAGTTCCCACAAAGGTCATAGCTTTGCGTCCCCGCCACAGAGAAAGTATTGGCGCGTCAAGCGAGACTGACAAATTCCCAGGCGGGAAAAGAGACCTTCAGGACGACGATCTCTATGAAAGGAGCTCTTCCAAATTTTTAGTTGGGTTAGATAACGTTTAGTTGGGTTAGATAACGTGAAGATTTTTTTTTGTTACCATCCCATTCTAGCAGCCAGGAGATAACATTAATTTTTAAAGCGTGGCTTGAACTCCTGGTGGGGCAATTAGCCGAAGGAGGCTTTTAAATATTTCTTTGCAGATGCGGCCAGCTTATCTGCTTCAGTATTTCCTCTAATACCCGTACGACTTGACACCTAGCAAAATTTATAGTTTATTGATGCTATAGAGCTCGATTTATTTTTATACGTAAAAGGTGTGCTCAGAAATTATTTGTTGGTGAAAAAAAGAGTCAACCACAAGATAATTTTGGGAATCAACAAATATAATATATTATTTTATTATTAGTCTTTAGTATATGTTTACTGCCAGTTACATGCAGCACAGCTCGCCACTAAAAAATGTCTGCCATAGAGTCAAGCTTTCTTGTTATTCAATAGTAAGCCCAATGCATGGCACAACTTACGCAAGGATGCAGTTTTTGCTCCATCTGTATAAAACCTGGTACAATCTCTATACGTGTGCTCCAAAAAGAGAAACACTTTTTTTAAGGACTTGAGGAGAAACAATCGCTTTACTGTACTTTGTAAGAAAAAAAATGGGAAAAGGTTGCCATTATTTTCCAAGGGGGAACCATTTCGACTGTTTGGAGCAAAGTAGCATCATCTGCATCACAGAGAATGCTTGAAAGTCGAAGGCTTAACGGGCACAAAATTTCTGGCTTGTTTTAAAAGAGTTTAGAAAACCGAAGATTTTGGAGGACACTATAAGCAGGATGTCTCGGAGCAGAATACATTTTGCAACTATAACAAAGGCTAAGGTAATGCCTTCGCCTCTTGCAAGACGTTTGATGTGTATTTTGAACGCTTAAGACAGGAGATGTACGAAAAGTCCCTGTTTCAAGTCGAAGCCCTAGGTGCTTAACTAAGTTCAACACCTTCAGTCTAGAAGGCCGTGCCGATCGAAACACAGTAGCACCATAGTCTAGGCGGGATCGATCTTGGGAGTTATACAACCGTAGAAGGCATCGCCTGCCAGACTTTCTGGACATATGGGACAGTACGTCAAGAATATCTGATGATCTCAAGCGTTTCTGTTTTAACTCCCTCAAATGAAACTTAAAAGGAACTTTGCTATCAAATGAAAAAAGACGACGAAGTGTTTTGTATGAGGAACGCCAAATCTTCCGCTCCCGGTAATTTCGATAATTCTTTTGCCTTGTAGTCTCCAGATACCTATAAATATTTGCGAACAATGTATATATATATATATCAGTGTCCCAAACGCCGTATAGAAGCAGACGCACCTCGAAGGGATTGCAGCCTTCCATCGCTGCTCCCCATAGATGTGACCCGGCATGACATCGGCCCAAGGAAACGTCCCCGACGTCGAAAGTATGGCGCTTAGCATAACACCTGCACAGCATGCAACAGATGCAGCGCCCTCAATGACACCGATGGAAGGACAACCTGGTTCTTCTGATCTATCGAGGACATCGTCCTCCACTGAAATTGACGACATGGACCACGAAAACGACGCTGGAGGCATATGGCACGAAGTTCGAACCAGAAAAAGAACGCGACTCACAAACAGCCTGTCTGCTTCGAGCTCGGACACGATTATACGGCCAAAACCTGACAAAGAGGGGCTCACGGTAATATTCGCTCCTGGGAAAGCTGAAACGGTGCTTACAGATCTCAGTAGCCTGAAGGTATCAAATGCACTAGATAAAGAATTCCCCAAATGCGTTCGCGAGGTTCGGTTTAACCATCGACTAAACCTCATTGCAGTTGATGCGCTGAATGGAGAAGCTGTCAAGAAGTTACAAAGCATGACAACACTCTGCAGCATTCCTGTACTTTCCTATTCTCCTTTGGCTGGACCAACTGTTGTCGGACTGATTCATAGCGTCGACAAGGAACTTTCTATTGAAGATATCACTTCAAATTTGAGGGCGGATGCAGAGATTGGCAGCGTACGACGGCTCGGAAACACCAGCTCTGTAAAAGTAACGTTCCGTGGAAACCGATTCCCATCCTACGTTCTGCTAGGGCATGTGCGCCACCCGGTGTCTCCGTTCAAGGCCCGACCAATTCAATGCTTTAATTGCTTTGGTTTTGGTCTCAGACAGGTGGCTTGCAAACGCCCGAAAACATGTAGACACTGCGCACAACATCACGACCAAACGGACAGCACATGCCTGTCATTGTCGGCGAAATGTGTGAACTGTGGGCAAAACCACGAGGCCACAGCACGGTCCTGTCCGAAAGGAAGAGAGGTTGAAACGATTCAAACCTACTCGAAGGCAAACTCGGTGGACTTTCACGCTGCCAAAACAGCCTTAGAACACGAGGAACTTTTTCCGGCGCTTGAGTTCACTCCTGCTGACAGCAGTGTCACGAAAGAGCTGGCTGGTGCTTCTGGCTTCAAGGACATTGCAGGGAACAAGACCGAAGACTCGAAAAAGCCGACAGCTTTGGCAACACCATATGCGTCGGTTCTCAAGGCAACTAAGCCCAAGGCACCAAAATCTCAAGGAGTTCGACAAGGATCAACATCACAGGATATACAAATGCCTGCTGTGTCGGAAGCACCACCCCCCGAGACACCTCAGTCTGATTTGCAGCTATCAACTGTGCGCCAGCGCCGTCAAGTAAGGGAGGCGGATGCGAAGCCGTCAAGTTCCGGGGACTCTGCAGGATGGATTCCTTTAGTCAAGGCAGCAGTCAATATCGCTCTCACCCTACTTAGAAGCCTCAAAACATCCTGGGCAACGACACTAACTACCATGATACAAGCTCTGCTTCCCCTTTTTGAAGGATGTTAGTGCCATCGTCCTCTCATGCACAAGACTCGATCAGAGCGACTCCGGCAGTGTCTGTGCGTGCTGCACGTCATGGACGAAGAAATACCCACCTAACCTGTCCATCCATCCTCCAATGGAACGCGCGTGGCCTTCGAAGGCGTCTTCCTGATCTACGACAGCACCTGATTCATTCTCCTGCTGACGTCCTGGCCACTCAAGAACCGATGACGCGACCGGGCGATTTCAGGTTTTCCCCTTATGTCATTCACCACAGTACGCCAGCGCGAAAGGGAGGTCGTTCTCGAGCAGCGCTCCTTGTGACCGCAGGACTAGCACACAACCCGGTTGATCTTTCATCGTTCACCACAGAGAAAGCAGAATTTGCTGCTGCCACGATTGAAGTCCGAGGCGAGCTCTTCACTATAGTTTCTGCATATGTCGCTCCTGGGCGTGCTAACAGCTGGGACGCGGGAGATTTAAATAAGATAGCGCTTAAATGCCCTGGCCATTTGATGCTCTGCGGTGATTTTAACGCACATAACTCTGCCTGGGGTGACAGGCGAACTACTGCAAGAGGCAGATCGCTCGAGTGTGTCACGTCTTCGCTTCACCTAGAAGCATTAAACGACGGCACAGAAACATATGTTCGCCGAGGTGTAAACGACAGTGTTCTTGATCTATCCTTTGCCCCACTGGATGTAGCTGCAAACTGGACTCCACAACCCGACTCATGGGGCAGTGACCATA